ATATACGATTAGAGTCTGTAATAAAAGGACAAGTATTACACCTAGGACGATTACACGGGACAGAACCATATTTCTCAGGGTCTCCCCTTTCACCCGTATGCACCAATAACCTCCTTAAATTAGTGTCACGGCGCCAGGCAGTAGTAGGCATTAGTGGAAACGTAGAACTTAGCTCCTCGCTGGTCTGTAAAATGTGAAAATGTTTGTACATAATGTTTCTAATCCTGACATTTAAAGGATGATTAAAGGATTTAAAGGATCATTTGTTGATCTCACTACCTAAGGCGCGTTATTTGTTCTATTGTGGAATTTTTTGTGATTCTAACTTATAGTTCATGCGCGTTCTTACGTTCCTATGTTCTACCTGTACGTTATTACACTTTCTTCTATGCTATCGATAAAGAGCCGTTGCTCGAAACGTCTAGCTATTTTTAATAGTTATTTAGGACTACGATTACCAAATATTATCTTCTATATAATATTATAAAAGCTCTATTCCTGTGAATTTTCATTTGTCAAATGAACTGTTTGTCAAATACAGAATACATATATTTTAGTACAATTTTCTTTTCAAAATGTGGATGCAACGTTTTGCTTTTTATGTATTGTTTTTGATTCGATAACTTTGAACTAAACAGATGTTCTATTAGCCTCAACTCTTGATCAAAGTTTGGCACCCAGTTCATTGGAGTGCTGTTTTCTGTAAAGATTGTATTGGTAGGATTGCAAATGTGTATCATACTGTGCAAAAAAACTCCCCATGAGTTAGTTTTGAAACCCAGTCAATAGTCTCCCCGTGGGATTTAGGAGATACATTGCCAAGAATATTATTACAAGATAAATGATTTGCTTCATTGAACACATACAACAATGCATATTTTCACTGAGGTCAGTGACCTTTGATGCGTATCACCAGTGATCAGTCAAGTAGAAACAGTAGTCAAAATATTCAGATTTTCTCATTTTTTGCATGATATATTCAATACAGGACATATGTTGTTCAAACTCATGGAAGACTTAATACTGATGAATATGGTGACCAAGTTTGATGAAGTTTGCAATAGAATTAGTAAAGTTATTGTGCACACAATAACAATTATTAACGACGACAATGACGACGACAACGACGACGACAACGCCGGACGAACATTTTTCCTTTAATATACTTTTCCCTTCCATCTTTGATAGTACGGGCAAGGTAAAAATGAATTTTCAAAATGTGAATGAATTGTACAAATGCTTTTATAAAATGCCATATTGTTAGCTACCTTGGTTGCTATACTGTACATTCTAACATATAGAATGCATACAGAGACACATAGGCATGTAGAGAAACGGATATACACTGTTCAATAATTGATTATTTGGGGAGATTGTTTTTAAAGTCATCTGTATTCAATTTCATAAGTAATATGTCATATATTTACACAATGGCGCATGAATAAATACAATACTCGGTAGTAGCAGTAATAGCCCAGATTAGTTGTAAAATGAGTGTTACAAAACAACTGTCCATGGTATCTAAAAATATCACAGATCCATTTTTATAACAGAATGTTATTTTTAATCTGGTATGTGTTGTTCAACAAAACCAGTTTTTCGTCAGGTTCTGGTTCTTGATTAATACATGAATAACCTTGGAAGGTATGAATGTGGAAGGAAGGTTGAATATGGACAAGATAATGCTTCTGTGTGTATTGGTATGGTTTGTTGTGTTTAATACGAGAGACTGGTCTGTGACCCACTAAATAATCCATTAATTCTTTAATACCAGTAGAAAAAATCAATATGAGTATATTTACTGGTGAACAACAAAAATGCCCGGATGTATCTGACCCTTGATTATTTAAAGCAGCCATTTTAACAGAGAATTCGCAAAATAACAAATTAAGGAACAGCATTTTGGAATTATTCTTGCAAGATACTTCTCCAAAAGAAATGCCGTAGGGTTAAAGGATGAAATTATTAAATTAGGGATTATAATATTTATTTTGGTTTCAACGGATTATCTAAAAAGTCGAAATTAAAGGATGAACGAATAAAGTGAAAGCACAGTCAGCTGGCGCACAATAAAATAAATGCGATGTTTACTATATGGGGCCGCCATCTTGCATGAAAATAAATAGACAAGTTGTGAAACGCGTTTTCAGACTTTTTCAGAAAAAAAATACAAATATTTCACAGTCAAATGATCCGTTGGGGGTAATATTAAGTAAACCGCGAAAATTCTGTCGATTGCTGAGTTCGAATGAAAATTGTTGGTTTCAAATCAGGTTTCAAATACCCTAGGAAAGTGTTCTACGTTCTTCGTGTGATTAGGTGTTCGTATTCAAGGGTGCCGCCGCCACTGCGTGAGTAGATCCGTCAGTGGGTGCATACAGCGCTTACAGTGGTTGATTATGAACACGCTACCCTGAAGCTTTGCCTCTCAAAAAATCACAACGGAGATAGTAGCTAATCTGAGGCTCTGGTGACTAGTTATAGTCGCATTGGTATACCCAAACAGGTACTCACTGACCAATATCGTCAGTTTGTTGGTGATATCATGCAGGAGTTTGGCAGACTTTTGTCAATTAATCGGTTCATTACAATGTCATATCACCCTAAAACAAATGGCTCCTGTGAAAGTGGAGAGAGTGTCATTTAAGACTGGCTCTGCATGCCAGCTTAGGTTTTCTCTATTCGAGCTGTCACCTTGAGAGATCTAATGACCCTCTTGCTGGAGTTATTAAAGAAACAGATCACCAAACCAGAAATTAAGAATACATATAAATTTGATTTATGAAATCGATTTGATTGAAAGTTCACTTACTGACAATGGCATAGAGGGTTCAGAACACCTCAATTGTGATTTGATAGAATTAGTTCACTTGTGAAAGTAATAAACCATTCAAGATGTACATCTGAGCCCTGAACTTACCACTGACATACCAAATACCAGACACCAGTTGCCATGAAATAGAAATGACACATTTGCAACATAAGATGATGTGAGATAAAGGAAGTAGCAATCATCAAACAGTCTGATTTACATTATTGTTCAACAATTCTGCTGATGAACTTTGATTTTATATGCATCTCATCGCTCTCACAATCCTAAGTCGGACCTGGGAGTTTGGGTTACACAGCTGGCTGATGATAATTACTTGACTTAAAGGGTTTCGGCGAATATCATTGACCACCGAGGCAAAACGGACTTTGTTCAAATGAATGTGGTAATTTAAAAGAAATGTCTTGCCATAGTTTGGGGGAATGAAAACGTTTGAGTCCTATCTGTACCTTCGTCAATTTGGGATTGAGACCAACCACCAACGTTATCTTTTATCGTTTTGTAAAATTGATAAATTTTCTAATATACGGATTATATGATAGACTATACATTTTCAAATCATTTTCCTATCGAATAATCAGTACAAAGGATACCATAATCTAGGAGTAGGTTATTTTTGGCAGAAATCCGAAGGTGTCAGTATAGCAGCTAAACAATATATGATCAAATACAAGAAAACTGACTGTAATTGATATTTGCAGATTTCCATGACAACACTGATTGTATTGTTTGAACCATAATGTCATCTTTTATGATATGGTTACATTTTAACATGGGGGTAAGTCACAAGGTGCCCGGATTGTAATTATACGAAACTAATTGCGTGTTGTACACGAGAGATGTACTTATTATCACAGTTTAAACAGCTACAACTCAGAGGTAGGATTTGTAACCAATCGTTATGCGCATTTAATTATACACGTACATATTCCCGATAGTAAGTGCTATGTGCCCCAGATGCTGCCTTTAAGGGCATACTGGACTTTCCTATCATTGGACAAGTATCCAGGTGAGGATTGTACAGATACACAGTGAGCGGATTCACGCACTACCATGGCCAAACCTAACATGTAAAATATGTTGGTTGAAATAGCTTTGTTGTTTCAACAGCACACAGTCTTTCAATAATAAGTGCATGCATAGTTGCATAACAAACCTTTGTTTGCATTCTATTTAAAGGGCGGTGGTCGTCGCGCTGCGCACGTGTGCCATTTGTGTTGCTAAACATTGATTTTCCCACAATCCAATGCGCTCTTCTAATGTATGAGGTTTTACCTAGGCGCGACTTACACTAATTACAGCCGGTGACTTTTTCGATACCTTCTAGTCACCTAAAAATACCTAATATAAGCTTGGTAACGTCGCAATTTGCACTCGTTATTCTGCGCAACAGTCCAAATCGCCGTCTTTGTTTATGAGACCCGTACATCTCGCGCATGCGTGGCGCTCGACTACCACCATTTAAGTACTAGTATTTCAACTCCCTTTTTAGGTTATATCAATGATAAGGATAGGTTTGATTGTACCTAAATTTTAAATTCATCAACTCCAGTTATAAGATATGTATGTGAATTAGTCGAGTGTTCCCCTTATGTCACAAGATCTAATAGATCTAAGTATTAAATCAATTGAACCAGCTTTTATCAAGATGTCAAATAACGTTTTTGACCAAAATAACAAACACTACGGAATTTATTATATCGTCATGAAATATTCATATTCAATAGAGTTCTACCAAACTTATACTAAGTATGAAACTAATCAGAGCAGAGATTTTTAAGAAAAGTTGAAAATTAAAATATTCATTAAAAATAGAAATTATCTAGAAATTATCAAATCTAATAGAGGGTCATCTACGGAACATAAGTAACAAGTTTAAAAGCAATAAAGTTAACAGTTTTCAAGAAGAGGGCATTTGCTCTCTTTTTGTAGAGATTTTATAAGTATTTTTGTCAAATTTACGCATTCTAAAGATTTCAAAGTCTCAATGAAAAAGATCTTGTGAAAATGGAAAAGATATTTGTTAAAGAAAAGTGGTATAATGCTGCAACGATGTGGAAAATTGGTGATAGTAATTTTAAAATCATGTCTCATAGCATAGAAGTTGAAAAATTCGATTGAATTACTTGAGTTATTCTGGTCACGATGCACTGCATATTTCGAATATTTGTCACAAATTGGAATGAGCCAATTGACCAATTATTAGTCTTACTATTCGAAGCAAGCACTTTAGTAATGCAGGTTTACTGTCCATGTGCTGTTCAGAGAAGGAATACTTCCGTGCAGTGCGCGAATAGTCGACACTGTCTCGTGCAATGCGTTCTTGCCTTAGTGACGTCATATATTTCGCTTTTTCAACACTAGGGGGATACTTTACACATCCCCAACAGGGGGTACTTGAAATATTAAAATACAGGACGGCCTCAGAGTTGTTGCTGTCCAGTAAATATATTTTGTTGTTGGCTATCGTGATACGGTCAGATGTCAGTGTGGTTGTGGCAGGCAATGTCGTTTCGCAAATCTCTTGTATTTGACCGCAACCAGACTCGTTTCTATAGAGACGCAAGCTGTTGTCAGAAGATTGGGTTAAGAGAAAGACATTGGGGTCTTCTTGGAGCAGGTGCACCGCGGCAAGTTGCCATGGTAACATGTAGTTGCATTTGAACGTGTGTTCATCATCCTGAGTTTGAATCTGAATTTTGAGAACATTCTGCAATCGTGGTTGATGATTTTCGATGACCATAAAGATGCAGCCTCCGATTTCTTTCAAATGTTGAACTGAGAGACAAGACAGCGCCGACACCGTTGTTATTGGGAGAGGCAGGAAATATTCCGTCCATTGTTTATCACGGCTGTTGTTTCTGGCAATAAACATGACAATCCCGTTTTTGTCAATATATTTGTAGACGTTGTAACTGTATTCTTTGCCATAGCATTCACATATGATGTCATCGTGGGGAAAGGGCGAATATTTCTCATCACATGGCGTGATGTAATATGTTAACGGTAAATTGTACCATTGATTGGTGACGTCATCGTAGAAGTATTCCAAGTTACGCTTCACGCCGTTCGTATCTATTGTTGTGTAGGCTGAAGTGCATACTATAACGGATTTCTTAAATCGACTCCGTTCGGATTTAAGTTTAGTTGCTATTTTAGTTTTGTGATAGTGACTCGTGTCCCTGTAGCTCTGTGTCTTTGCTAGAAAGTAGAAATGTTCAGCGATATATTCGTACATACAGTCAACTATAGAGTGGTGGTTGAATTTATACGAAGCATCCAATAAAACAAAACAGTTTCTTCTGGTGATGCAGTTTACGAAATATCTCCATTCCAAAAAAACTTGTAAGAAATCGGCTGCTTCCATGAACTCCACGAGTTCTTTCACATTCGGCACTTGCAAAGATTCGCCGTAGAGGTATCTTAACGTCAACTTCAGCCCAGTCAGCGTTGGTGGCGTTGTGGTGAAAACCACCTCATTCAGACTTCCAACTGCGGACCAAGGATTGGACAATCTTCTTTCAAAATATACACTTCGTCGGCGGAGAAGACAGGAATGAACATGAAATACCACCTGACGACACCGAATATTCAGGTCTGGTAATTTTAGATTCCCGGTCGACAGACATACTCTTGAAGTGGATATAACCACATCTTCACCATCGTTCCCCGTCACCATAGTTACGTTTAACTGTAAATATAAAAAAGATGCGATATAATTGAGATCTATAATTTATAATTTAATTGATGGTCAGACATCTTAATTAGTTAGAATGAGATATTCAATTAAATAATCAGTATATGATGTGCGAGCTATATAATGAATTACTAGTATGCAAATTGTGTGAAAACACTAAAACATCATTCACATCATTTTGAAACACAACATATAGTATTTTATCGCATTTCTAAAGAAAATAATAACTAGTAAGCAAGTCTACGTTGAAAGCTGCACTTGAGATTCAGAGCATTAATTGATATACAAGCAAATTATATTTACATACAATTGTGGTACAAATGAAGTTTATTATTTAACTTATTTGTATATGATAAAATATAGTTCTTATGCATATACAATTTTGCTTCCAATATATTAAATATCACAAAATTGTTACGTAAGTACGCTGAAAGGCGGTGCTATTTTACCGTAAAATTACCTCCCGCAAAATTACATTGTATTTTGTTTGCAAATTATCACAAATTAAATTGGATGAGGGAGAGTTGTTTTCCTTCTCGTTAATTGCAGACGATAAATCATTGTCATATTTTTTCCGACACACATTATGTGTGGAGAGTGCTGTATATCCTGAGATAGTGAGTCATGTGGTGACATAACAGGTTAAAAGTCAACTCAACTGAGTCACGTCGTGCATAGAGCTAAAAAAAATTGTAATAACTTGCTGAAAACCCGTCCGATTTCTACGACTCAAACGCAGACCTGTAGAACTGACAACACACTATCGTAATTACCGCTACGCGCATGTTCAGCGACCTGTGACGTCAACTGCGCAGAACAAAAATGATCGTCACACCTCAGGAAGGCGGTGACGGCTGAATAATCAGTGTGACGGCAGCCGGCAAAAGTCATCGACATGAAAGGCGCGTAGACACAAAAGACTCAAGTAGGATTAAAACCAGTTCAGTCTCCTTCTTTTTTTAGCTCCATGCGTCATGCAAATTTGGCTCAAATAACGTGAAATACAGCATTTAATCCTTAACATATAGTTACACCACACAACCAGAATCGTTACTGGCAATATGTTTGAGCCGGTGAGCAAAAATAGTTTGTAAATAACAGTAAATAAAATATTTGACGAAAATTATGTATATAATGTGCGTGAAAATAATATGAATATAATAATGATATATATTGTATACTAGTAGCTTCGCGGTGAGTGGCTTTAGCGGTGAATGCCTTTCGTGAGTAGCTTTCGCAGTGAGTTTGGTGTCATGAACACTAGCGTTGTGTTCGGGGATCAGGAACTTCTTCTCGCTTGGCTGATGTCACTTACACCTAGAGGTACCAGATTCGACCCAAATGAATACACATTAGTTCATTCAGGGAGCTCCCTGGCTCATTACAGATAGTCCAGCTTTATTCACACAAACAGTAAGCCGAGGTAACCCCTTGCTGCACCGTTCTCTCGTTCTCTATATCTCTCCATCTCTCCATGATCTCTCTTAAATTAGTACCTTCCAAAGTTTACAAACCCTATATTAAAAGTAAAATCCCTAAGGTGTGGCAGAGCAACCATGCGACCAGCCAATCGCTGCAATCGTTGGCACGACCACGTGATTACCAAGGATGTGTCTCACGTTGCAAAGTTGCCACTACTAAATACAATAAGTAAACAATCTATTTATAACATTCCTGTGATATATGTTTATGATCTCCACCCTAGAAAACTAAGCCGGGGTATTTGAAACCGAAATTGACATCTAAATGTAAGGCTGTCGCTGATTGGCTGCTGAGCTGGAATGACAATTTTTGATTTTAAATACCCCAGGAAAGTGTTCTATGTTCTTCGTGTAATTGGGTGTTCGTATTTAAGGGATTTTTCCACACAGAAACTACGAATTTAGCCGAATTTTGTTATCGATTGGCTTAATATTACCCCCAACGGATCGTGAAAGATTGGCATTTTTGTCCTGATTTGCAGGAATCTGAAAAACGCGTTTCACAACTTCTCTCTTATTCAGTTTTATCATAGACGTACCAAGATTATTTTATTATCACGTGTGCGCCAGCTGACTGTGGTGCACACGAACATAAAGCGCCAGGTAATCAAATAAAAAATGACGTTGTACTAAAATACATAAAGTACGTTCAAGGTCTCCACTTTTTCGTTGCATAAAAACTTGCTCCCTCGCTTATTGTGTAACCCTCAAATAGAGTCATTTCCATTCCCCTCAAAAGTCAATAATGGTTTTGTCCCCTATTTTTCAATGACTCGAAACAGTTTGTTTTATGCTTCACGTGTTTATTTCGAGTTGAAACTCAATTCCTGTGCGTGCGATCGATCTCGGTCCCGATAGATGCTTGGGACCGAAACTCGGTCCGTGCCGACATTTGCTACCTGAACGCTCTGCACAAACCGAAATCACACCCTTGGTGGTGAATTTAGAAGAACCGATTCATACTACCATGGCATGACGATGGAGGGAAGTGACGACGCATATTTATGTACTGCTGAACCAATTTGTTATTGCAATGCTACATCGACGTGAACAAATAATTGTTTGTTTTTTTCGCATTTTTTTGCCGTTCATGTGCAAGGTAACTCGTAATAAATACCACAATAGCAAATGGATATAAACTCAATATAGCAATTATTATTATCATCATATGCGTATCGTTTTCTACGTTTATGAATAAATAGGATATATGACAAATGTGTTACAGTCTATTCGCTTAAGTTATTGTTTCCAAATTTTTCTCTAGTAAATGTATTCCCGACACAGGCGATACAGGCACTAAACAACAACAATTAACAAATGAAAAGTTGAAAAAATATTCATCACTCATTGAAACATAGAATCAAATTCAGATAACATATAGGGGACATACAGAGAATTCAAGAAACAAATATCTATCTCACGGTTCCGTTTAAGTAACCACGACCTCAAAATCGAAACAGGGAGTCATTAGCGCCTGCTCGAGTCGAACGCATATACACAGCCATTTTTGCTGCCCTGAGCCATGGGGCTCCGATAAAAAGCTGTTGTGCCAACGCAGCAAATGAGGTCAATCGCGATGTGAACTCACGACCCATCTAATTAATATCAGACCCCGGAAGTTGCCACATGGAATCCGGCAGACATGAAAACAATATACGTCATCAGACAGTGAACAGTTGTTGGTGTTATAACCACAGAACGCCGTGGTACATATATACATGGAACTATAATAGTTCCATGATATATATAACCATAGACCTTAGAAAAGAGGTCTATGATATGACAAAGTCAGTGTTGTTTACATACCGACTGGATAAAGGCGCGTCTGCGAATAGAGTGAATCCGGCGCACTCCTATCCACGTATAGTATACAGTGTACTAGTCGGTAACATAAGGCAATAATTCGTACCCCCGTTGTCATCTCATTTACTTGCTTAAACAGCTGTGTAAAGTCATATTGGATGGGTGAAGGCAGCCGAAAACAATTACGCCAGTATTATGCATAGCCATGGAAACGACATGATAACTTGGACTGCACGATGTATATATTAACTGACGGTGAATCTCAACAAAACTATGCCAGAATGCAAATAGGCGTGTGCCTATGACCGTTTATATACATCCAACACGACAAGGTGATATTATAGATAAACATCGGCATCCCGTCCAGCCGTTTTCAAGTTTGTTTGTAAAGAACCGTGAAAGAATGTCAGTTATGTGCCATAGAGTGATCATTACGTGTACTTTATTTATATTCCCGAATTCCATACAGATAATATTCCTAGTATGTTTACATACTACCCGTATGGCACGTATTTTTCAGGAGTAAAATAGTCACCAGCCAACAAGACTATCATATCTAAAGAAAAGAAGTGACGCGGTAGAAAATGGTGATAAGAAGAAAGAGTTAGGGATAACCGTTCATCCAAAAATACTGATCAACCTTTTTTTTTATACACTATTACATAATATTCTAACGAAGTTGAACATTAAAAAAACACAAGTTACATATTTCAAATTTTCTGAGTAACTTATCAGCCGAAGTACTTGAGAGATAAACTCAATTCAATTAAGTGATGAAAAGTTTGTTTTAGTTTATTGACTTGCAAGCTATGTCAAGCACTACTCGTCAAGACATGTGATTATATTTGATGTAACACAGTCAAGTTAAATTTTAATATTTCGCACAATGTGTTGGGGAATAAACTTAAATATAGAATTAAACATTCATTAAAATATGTTTAGACCTGTATACAAAACTGTGCCCACACAAAATAGTAAGAAGTGTTCCCTTCATTAAATATAATTGTCAATAAGACCCCCAGCAAGCGATTGCTGGCGCTGTTTGATAAATATATATTTCGAATTTTTACAATGCAGGTGACCACAAACTGAAACAAACTCAAATCCTTGAATCTCAGATAATGTATATACGCTGTTCGCTTGGCCGTCATATACTTTCGTGGATAAGCATAAACATGTACTTGGTGTAAGCCGATAGGATAAACATCACTAAAATAACTATGTTTAGCGAAATTTAGTGTCCTTGAAAATAGTGTTATCCAGATGAGTACACTGCTGTAAAACATGCACTTCCTCAAATTTAGCGTTGGAATGTTTACGTTGTTTAGGTATATGTCCATTGTAATTAGAATAACCATTGATGTAAAAAGAGATTGTTTTTACCTCCATGGAATAACAGACTTATCCGGCCGGCTCCAGGAAATCTATCGCAACGTCGGATCATCGATGTCAACTGTACAGGACTCGGACTTAGTGAAACAATAATTATAGGGTCATATTGCTGAAAATACATCGGCACATACATGCCGATAATGACATCCACAAGGTCTCTCTAAGATAAACATGCAGCAACGTGGGGTGTGTGAAGTGAACACGACAATTACGGGGGAACCACTCCTTGCGTTTTTTGGAGGGGGGACAAGTCAAATCATAGATTGTCCATATTCGAACTAGATATGCTTATCCAAAACATTTCGGCCACGCCACTTATGCATATTTGTTCGAATCGTACTGCAATCAATTTGTATCTGATAATGCATTGTTTAAAATAACTACTTGACCTCTATACACGTACAAGACCAAGGTTATTTTTCAACCGACCAATTTCCTGCAAAGTCAAAGAACATTGAAAATAGACTGTACTCCGATAGTAAATTTTTCAACGCCTGGCAACCATCACGGTGATAACAGAGGCCTGAAACTTCCCGAAGACGGTACTTTGGGATAGTTGTCGAGACTAACTACTGAACAGTGTAACAAGATTACCCCTACATATGCAATATATACGAGTCTGAGCATGGAGATAGAAAAGACAATGCACTTGTGTACTAGTATCTCGAATAAACAGGAAACACGTCAGCAAAAATGTATATTCGCTCAAGCTATTGTCATGCAAAATTACCATTTTGTAATTGTTCAATTGTTGTGATATGTTTTTTATCTTTGGTGTCTTTAAAAATTTTCTTCAATTTTCATTGGATCTGTTCAGTCGTTCTTTCAAGTTTTTGTCGCATATTTTCGTACGCCATTTTTCTGTTTCCCGTTGAGCTATCAATCTATCGCAGCATTTCTTTACTCTGTCAAATAAATATTAGGGTGCCTACCTCTTCGTCAATCCGGAAATTGCGTGAAATTACCAACGATGTTGTCTCCGTCATAATTGAAATGAGAGGATACTTGATTGAGGGCGTGATTTCGACTCCGATATTTGGGCCACGATGCGTATACATGGTCGGAGCTCAACCCTATCGGAGTTCAACCTCGAGGGTTTAGTGAAGCCGAACATGGAGGTATGTAAGGGTGCATA